ATAGAACTTGACTGCATGCTGAAGTGGCAACCCCTAACCGTACTTAAGTAAATATAAGTGTTTGGAAAAATGTACTTTCAAAAGTACTTTTATTGTACCATGTTCATTCACTCATGAGCTGCTGTAACATGAAATGGCTGAACTGCCACCTCAGCGTGCTTCTATAGAGTCTTGCTAAACACCTACTAATTGTATTCAGGCGTGTTGCAACAGGGACACATGGAAAAGTTGCAGGACACCGGCCCTCGAGGACTGGAGTTTGAGACCCCTGCACTAACAGAAGAATCAAAATATCAGAATACAAAATAACAGAGGTGGGACCAAATCATTGTTTTGCAAGTCTCAAGTCTTTATCCTCAAGTCACAAGTTGAGTCTCAAGTCACTGGTTTAAAAGTCAGAGTAAAGTCACATGTCTGAAACTTTGGATTTTAAGTCCTTTCGAGTCTTTAAAAAAAAAACGAAAAAAAAGAATGTCGCAGTTATATGCTAAATGTAAATATGAGACCATGTGATTTTTAAATCTCTGTTTTTCTCAACACATGATGAAATAGTGAACTTAGAAAATATACACAAATTGTGAAATTGCACCTCTATAAAATGCAGCTCAATTAAACTTTGCTCCAAGAATAATTTTCACCGACAATTCTGAGATAAGCTGCATGTTATTCTTGGATGCGCTTGTAGGACCAGCTTTAAAATAGCATGACAAAAATATAATACACATTAAAGTTAGTTGACATCAAAGTTATATGAAGTCAGCTATCTCATCGTAGCAAAAGAGAACCTACTGTTCTTTATGCAACTTCAACTGTCGGACAAAGTTTTTCCATCTCTGTCTGTGATTCTCTTCTTGCATGTTTTGCATATTGCATTTAGTTTTTGTTGTTGACTACTTCATAGTTTATGTACCTGAAAAAAATAACTCCTTGCAGCATTTTTGAGCATTTTTTTTTCTTCTTAAAAAAAATCTGCACACATACGTACGGAGTGTGGTTTGAATAAATGAATGAATGAATTGAATTAATGGTGCACACTTTCTATATAATATGTGTGTTAAATTTTAGTTTTGGCGTGAAATATCAAGTCTTTTCAAGTAAACCGGTTCAAGTCCAATTCAAGTCCCAGGTCATTGTTGTAAAAGTCCAAGTCAAGTCACAAGTCTTAGAACATTTTTTCAAGTCAAGTCTAAAGTCATAAAATTAATGACTCAAGTCTGACTCGAGTCCAAGTCATGTGACTCGAGTCCACACCTTGGCAAAATAACAATAACTAAAAGTGAGTTTGACAATCAGGAACACTAATAGGGTGACTTATAATTAATATAAAGCATAAACAATGACGGAGATAAGGAAATGTTGTTCTAAAACTAAAAGTGGATTCTATGGCGGATAACATTCTGGTAGCTACTCTATCAGGGCGCTCCCTCACCCTATTTCAAGTATAGTGAATGCATCTGCAGCGGTCTATTTCCTGCTGAGTGCTACATGTGGGTCAGACAGCTGTAGCAAAAATCCCAAAACGATTCCCCTGAAATCGTCTGAAGTTCATGTGTGAAAACAGCTTTACGGTGACATCAGGGAAAAATTCAAATGTGCAAGTTGCCCGAGTTCCAAAGCTGAAATCTTCCAGTTGCACTGAAGGAACAAAAAAAAATAATTCACAAAATAAAGGACGCTTCAGGTCATAAAATTGGCATGAGCAGTTGCCTCCCTTGTAGCCCGCTGTGTGATGATAGTGCTGCAGATTGTTTGCATTAGATCATTTCAGTTTTGACTTTGCTGACGATGCTGCAGCAGTTTCAGGAGCAGGAATCCTTCTGAATCCTCGGTTCTGTCAGCCGTTGTGGCTGATTTTATCTCAGATGTCGTCCGCTTCACCTGTGGCTTTTTGAAGCACTCGGCTTTCGTTAGAATCAGCTGCTGGCTGTCTTGTTAGTAAAAAGCAGACAGCTGGCAGGCACGGCATCAACGCTGTACTGGTTACTTGTTATACTAACGCCCGCACGACGCTTCACTTTTTAAAACCCAGATAAATCACATTCTTCCTCTGGAGAGAGGATTTGATTACTGGTTTTAAAACTTTGGTTTCAAACTGAGTTCTTTGTACATCTAAAGTATTAGAACAAGCCCTCATTTGACAGGCGATAATGATGCTGAAAACAAACTGCACTCCTTATTCAGGCTTCTCCCCTCCTCTGTAGATAAGGCTATTTACATATATGAATGAAAACAAGCCTTTGGAGTCACTTGTTTCATTAGTTTTGACAGGTCAAAAGAGAACTGCCTCAAAAATTTCTAAAGCACTAAATAAGCCCTTTGTTTTAAGGCTTTTTGCCAGCATGCAATTTAAATTAGGCAACACCTTTTTGAAGTGTCCTTCAACATTTCTATCAGGAAGGAGGATTTCTTCAAATGCAGGCTGCTCATCCAATTACAGTGCGGCCTTCGCAGACATGCCGGGGTAAAGGGAGTGTTGTCGTTTGATCGTATCCTTACACGGCCTTGTCGCGTTTGTGATTCACCTTGTTGCTGTGCTGTTTTTCTTTTCCTCAGACCAATTCCACAGAAGGCTGTCAGCCTGAATCAGACTGTTGACTGTGAGCCTCATGGGCCAGACAGAGCTTCACTCACAGCCTCCAGGGAGCCCAGTGTTGTTTTGCTTATCAAACCATGAGCCAGCAGATATTTATTTCGTGTATTCAGAGACTAATCTAACTTAATTAGTAAAACTGTCGGGAAAACTACAAAGAGCCCTGCTGGCGATTATTGCATTGAGATTTTTCCCCCCCAACAGCTTGGAATGTGAACCTTGACAGTATTACTATCCATTTTTGTTAGACAGCATGATCAGACGATAACAAAAGATTACATTCAGCGGTGAAAAACATGCAATAGAAAATCATAAACAAACCTCAGTTCACCTTAACTACAGTTGGATACTTCATCCTCTCTGCCTGCCTCTCTCTGTCTCAAGACATTTCCACCAATGATGGATAAAACTTGAAAATTATTTATGAAAACTGAGTCATGAGAACCAACTTTTACCATCTTTGATGCATTCGCATATACACCAAATACTTTATTAACAGCCACAACAGCTCCACAATCCTCTTGACTCACGGGGGCTAGAGACTCAGAAAAGAACTAAGGCGATAACTGTATAACCTCTGAACTATTCAATCATATTTTCTTTACTTCTAGCAGCAATAACCCTTATAAAACATCTGTTTTTTTAAAAACACTGATAGCCATGATCGGTTTTAGTACTGGTGGGTTATCATAAAGTTTTACATTGATGGAGTCTAATCAGACGATTGGTTTATAACCGAATATCCAGAAAGTAAGACAGTGTTAACATCCATTGTGCGTTGCTGGTGACACACATGTTTGTGAATGGTATCTTTGAGAAACCAAAGAGTGTGTTATAGTTTCTGCATCCAAGTATTGTAAGGTCAGCTTGGGTCCAAGTAACATAGATTCCATCATGAGAGTGTAAAGCTCTGAGAGGACATCTGCGCCCCTGCTAACTTTTTGTAATCGTGCATATTTGTTCATGGAGACACAACACTGCAATGCACCAACTATGCATTTGACCTTCAGGTGAATTTTAAAGAACCATAACAGCAGTGACTATTCAATTCAATTCAATTCAATTTTATTTATATAGCGCCAAATCACAACAAAAGTCGCCTCAAGGCGCTTCATAGATACAGAGAAAAACCCAACAATCATATGACCCCCTATGAGCAGCACTTTGGCGACAGTGGGAAGGAAAAACTCCCTTTTAACAGGAAGAAACCTCCAGCAGAACCAGGCTCAGGGAGGGGCGGGGCCATCTGCTGCGACCGGTTGGGGTGAGAGAAGGAAGACAGGACAGAGGACATGCTGTGGAAGAGAGACAGAGATTAATAACAGATATGATTCAATACAGAGAGGTCTGTTAACACATAGTGAGTGAGAAAGGTGACTGGAAAGGAAAAACTCAATGCATCATGGGAATCCCCCGGCAGCCTACATCTATTGCAGCATAACTAAGGGAGGATTCAGGGTCACCTGGTCCAGCCCTAACTATATGCTTTAGCAAAAAGGAAAGTTTTAAGCCTAATCTTAAAACTACAAGCCCACACACATCTGTGTAGCCAGCTGTCCATGTACACTACGTGTCCGCAACAGAATTTAACCGCTAGAACCCAACATTTGGTAGCCATGCTTGGGGCTAACAAAACCAAGTACCCAAATAAATAGGGGAAAATATAACGTGTAAAATCTTGGAAAGAAAAGCATCTTGACTTGCTGGAGAAACTATCAGAATTGATGTGAGAAAATGTACAAAGAGAAAATTGTCTGTCACTGTCTATAAAACATTAGGACGCAAACACAAGGTAATTAAAAGATAATGCACCAGCACAAGCATAACGATGGTAACGATGTCAGTCACTTGTGTAGATTATGTTGTAGGCTCTACGAAGACGCTCCCCAGTCTAAATCAGGTCGTAGGCATAAGCACAGTCTCGGAGCAGAAATATTACAAACACTAAATCTAAGTGTTTCATGTCTGCGTTGTCCACATGCTGGCTCCCTTAATTGGCACTTAGTCTTAAAAACTCTGAGAACTCCTGTTCTAGATACTCAAATGTTCCTCCTGAGGTTTTAATAGCCTGATATCAGACGGAACCACATTCATCACACTCTCTTTTCATCTTAAGGCTTATATGTTGTCCAATCTAACTAACTCCCATGTGAAAGATATTTTAATTCAATTCAATCCAATCCAATGCTAATTCAGTTTTGTTTATATAGCACCAAATCATAACATCAGTAACCTCAAATTGCTTTATACTGTAAAGCAAAGATTCTACAATAATACAAAGAAAACAACAACAATCACACGGGCACCTATGTGTAAGTACTCGGCAATAGTGGGAAGGAAAAAAATCCCCTTTAACAGCAAGATACCTCTGATTGAACCAGGCTCAGGGATCACCTGGTGGAGGTTAGGGGACAAACGACAGGATAAAAGACGTATTTCAAATTTCTATAATCAATCACTAGAGAAACGGGGAATAGCCTCTTAAATTTATAGTATTTTTAAGTTGACTGCAATGCTATAATGGTATAAAATATATAAAATGTATGTATGTATCCATTTCAACAACACTGATCCTGGCCATGCTGTTCTTTGGCTAGTGTTGAGTCCTCCTTTATTTGTCATTGGGTGAACTGTTTTTAGCTCCCAATTAATCAATATGCAAATTGTCATGACCATTGATCAACAACCACTGATGGTGATCTCACAATGCTGCGATTGCAGCCGTTCCCCAACTCTCTGTGAGTTGGGGAACTCTGTGGTACTCATAGCTATTGATCAGTGGTCATTGATCAATGTACCTCCCAGCCCATTGTTCACTCAGTGGACTGTTTTCAGTCATTGTGCAAGTGTACTGTTTATAAGTTGGGGAAACCTGCAGTCAGCTGACACTGAAGAAGTCACGTGGATGAGTGATGAAACGTTTCCCCCACTGAAAACGCTGCGTCCAGATGAACAGAATCAACCTTTTGGGATTAGTAAAGAAGATACTACAGGATACTGC